TAGTAAATTGTGGTCAATGTCACGAGACAAAGTATATGTGAACTGCTGTATGGAAAGTGAATTTGCTCTGTAAATTTTCACCCAAATCACAATTAAAAAAAAAAAAAAAAGAGGAAGACCTTCAAAGACATGAACGAACAAAGTGACTGCAGCAATGGGTTCAAACATAGCAATGATTGTAAGGATGGCGCAGGACCGGGCAGTATCTCGTGCTGTAGCAAACATCGTCACTATGAGTCGGAACTGACTTGTTGGTGCATAATATTTATTATAGTATGGCAAATTATGTATTTGTTTATAATCAACAACATCCCACGGTTAATACATTAGAAAATCAACTATAAGATATTTGGGTTACAAGTTTAATTTGTTTTCAAATATTCACCAAGAGAAGCACAGTGTACTAAAGACATGACAAACAAAAGAGAGTTAGAGTACTGATTATAGACCTCTTTCTCCCTCTAGGGATAGCAGCCTAGCTTGGAGTCAGAAATGTGAGAAAGTATGTAATCTAATTAATACAGAAGAAACACTTTCATATTAATCCTTATAAACAATGAGAGAACTATTAAAAATTCAAATTATCATTGGGAGGAATTCTGCCTAAACTATAAACTCAAGGGAAGTTATAAATTAAACTATTTCCTAAATTATATGTGGCTTTGAGTTCTTAATCCTGTAAAATCTAAGCTTTTAGACATTTTTTCATTAAAAAGGCCTAATTTAAGATGAGCTTCGCACATGGTTTATATTAGGGTGTTTTAAGTTTCATTATGGACTTTTCTTCCATTCTGATAAGAAGAAATGTCTTATTTCTTCATATCCTCCTACCAATTCTTTCAAGAAGCAGGAAAGAGATATTTATAACATTTAGAAAGGTTACATAATTTATCCCACCACAGAGGATTGTTTCCTCTGGTTATTCTTTTACCTCACCCCTTCTATCCAATCCATCTTGCCAATATACTTCATGACACTGTCCTCCATTTAAACACTTCTTACTATAGGAATGCACTGCTTAACATCTAAGGTACGTTCTGTGAAATAGGATGTTATGTGATTTGGCTGTTGTGCAAACACCACATATTATATACTTAGTAAACAGACATGCTGAAATTGTGAATGATAGCATTCAATGATTTTCTACCTTTGTGTTGCCTAATAGGTTTTGTTTCATTTCCAAGTTGAAAGTTCAGCTTTGCTTCTTGCTACTGCTATCACTAGCACTGGCTTTTCTGCAACTGGGAGCCATGATGTACTTTATGGTAATATTTTCTAAAGAAATTCAAAGAGATAGCGATACATGAGATTGGATGCTGCTGCCTACAAGTCAAAGCACATATTGTTATTTCGTAAAGTTTTTAGATACAGTAAATACATAAACCAGTAACACAGGTATTTATTACAACTATTAAGACATATGTATTATGGGTTATATCTGTACTGCACCATTATATAAGGAGTTCTGGTGGTGTAGTAGTTAAGTCATGTGTCTACTAACCGAAAGGTTAGTGGTTCAAACCCAACAAATGCTCCATGGAAGAAACATGGGGCAGTCTGCTTCTGTAAAAATTTAAAGCCTTAGAAACCCAATGAGGTCACTATGAGTTGGAATCAACTCAGTGGCAGTGAGTTCGGTTTGGTCTTCTTGGTTATCATTATATATACCTGACAGCATGATCCCTTTACATACAAGAGGCATGACATAAATGTGTTGCTTGTGAAAAGTTGTTGTGTATGCTACATCCAGTCACATCTGCTATGTCTCATTCTCCAATCAGGATTT